TATCTTAAAAGTCCGCACGGAGTTCAGCTTTTAAGCTAGTAATAAAATAATAATATTCATTCTTCTTAGTTATTATCAATTTACGGAAAGTCAATTTTTCGGCCGCTATGTTAACTTAATTTGTTACTATTATAGACTGTCCTGGTTATGACGATATACTACATCCGCGTCCTAGGGTACCTAGAGGCGGTGTAATGGTTAGCCAGCTTGTCTCGCTAGCACAATTACGAATGAGTAGTGAGTTCGATCCTCACTGGGTGCCCCATACTTTCGGCCTTGGAAAATCGCTAGTACATCCGCGTCTTGGGTAAGACGATAAACTACGTCTGACCAGAGGCCTTGCTGCCGGATGTAGTTTATCGTCATACCCAGAACGAGAAAAAATGTTAACATAGAACTTATTGTTACATCTAGCCACTTCGACTTTAAATTGGGTGAAACTTTGAACAACATCAAGAGATTGTCCAAAGCACCTGAAAACCTCTAACGCCCGGAACAAAGGCCTTGCTGCTGGATGTAGTTTATCGTCATACCCAGGACGGAGATGCTGATGTGTCCAAGGATTTTTACTAACATTATTTTCGGTAACATTTATCTTACCCAGTGTCTCGATCACCACAAAGATGAACGTAGATTTAATTTTCCACATTTTCTTACTCTGATTTACAGGGCTTTATAATTTGACAGTTTTTAATTCTTTTCTTTTTTCTTTTTTTAAATATTGGAATCCTGTGAGTGGGTCATATCAATTAGTTGACAGCTTGCTTTTTTTTTTTTAAATCGTTTATGACTATGTCTGGTTTATTTGCAATAACTTTCCTGTCTGGGAAGATTGGGAAATTCCACGTATATTGAATCCATTACAATTTATGACATCATTTGGGTGGAGTTGTTTACCTTGCATCAGAGATTTCATTTTTATTATTACAACTCAAAAACCTGTCTTGTAAGCATTTTTATTAATAAATTTATTTATAATTATTAATTTTTAATAATAAATTATTTTCCCTTCTTTCTTTCATTTTCTCATTGAAACCAAGTAGCGTCTCTGATGTCTCATTTCCGTGTTTTCCCGCTGCCAAAACAGAATAGTCCATTATTTATTAAGTATTAGCAGGGCGTAACGGTCGTTCGAACTAAGGAACTAACGAAAGGAGGGAGAAACAGATTATTATTATTATTATTATTATTATTATTATTTCTGTATTTTATGCTTCCGGCTTCGTATCCTGTAGAGCCGGTACCAGACCATGGTCCTTAGGCCCTATAGGAGAATTTTCATTTAATTGATAGCTCTTTTCTTAGTATATGGGATGAGTGGATTATTAATATTATTATTATAATCATTATTATTATTATTATTATTTCTGTATTTTATGCTTCCTACTTCGTTTCCTGAAGATCGGGGTCCAAACTATAACATTTTTAGAGGTTAGAGTTCAGATGGGCCGCGAGACTTGTACACCACTAAGACAAAATGCGTTACTGAGTGCTAGAGAATATGAGAAAAATATTATTAAGGAGAGCGGTCCATAAAAGAACAATAATCAAGAAGGCAGTAAATAGCGATTGACATTGCACTTAAATTTTTGAAGATCGAAGTTGACTGGGAAGCAAGAAGCTGGAAGAGAGTTCCACAAGTGAGAAGTGCGATAGAAGAAACTGTTAGCATAGAACTTACGGTTACATCGAGCAATTTCAACAATAAAATGATGAGACCTTACCGCCAATCTAGTACTGCGCTTATGTGTTTCGAACCAGGAGTTAACTTGAGACTCCATGGAAATAGCATGGCGCGTCATCGTTGTAAACAAAAAAAAGACTAAACTTGTTGAATTAGAGAACTCAACTGAAAGTTAGAATTTAGCAGCTCCAGCCCCCCAGACACGGAAAAGAAATTACAAAACCTCCTACAGAAGGTAACGACGGAGAGTGAGAAGAAAGGACTAAGCACAAACTACAAGAAGACAGAATGAATGGTCATCAGTAAGAGGAAGAGCCCGAAATGCGATTTGCAGGTCGGGGGCACTAGAATCAAGCAGACACAGAAGTTTAAATATCTGAAAAGCGTTTTGACGGTAAGTGCGACACTGAGATCCGAAGACGTATTGGGATGGCCAAAGATGCTTTCCAAAAGCTAAGCAGAGTATTACGCGACAACAGGATTTCTTTGGTAACAAAGAGTACTGACCTTGTTACGTGACATATGTTCTCCTTTACGGCAGCGAATGTTGGGCGGTCTCCTCGAAGATGAAGAAGAGACTCGAAGCAACAGAGGTATAGTTCTACAGAAGGATGCTAAGGATATCATGGCCAAAGACGCATTCCAAAAGCTAGGCAGTGTATTACGAGACAGGAGGATTTCATTGGTAACAAGGAAAAGAGTACTGAGCTGCTACGTGGCATCTGTTCTCTTTTACGGCAACAAATGATGGAAAGTCTCCTCAAAGATAAAGAGACTCAATCTTAACGATATAAGATACGCAGATGACACGGGACT